AGATGTTATTACAATGGTTGGGAAAAGGCTAACCTTTGTTAGGTAACCTAATCTAGAGAGCTTCTGATTTCTTTGATATGCTATCATTAAACAAAAATAGTTATTTTCTCTGTTTTGTAGAAACTTTTAAAATAGCCAAAAGTTACGATGTCTTCCAGAGTCTACAAAATTATTTTAACATAAGCCAAAAACATCAACACATCCTTGAAATAGGAAGCCGAGTTTCATAGTGGCAAAAGATTGCTTTATTGATGTTTCTGGAAAAGTGAGTTGTGCATTTAAATGAACTTTGACATTAACATCAAAAAACTCAAAACACTGTAGTATGGGAGAGCGAGAGCACCAATAATGGTTGAGATGAATCTGACTTATGCCACTATGAATTTCATTCCTCCAAATAATAAACTAAATTTAACATGAGAAAGTTGTAGTAAGCATGTGCTTTGGTCTAGGAAACACAGGTGCAAATTGTATTACCTTTTCTTTCATGAAACAATAAAATTTGTAACCTGAAGTTAAGGCCAAATATATCATGCAATCTGATGACTTTCACGTTTGGTGTCCCAAATTCACCTACTTGTGAGTAAATATGCTTACCTATCATAGATGACACATTTGTTTTGTTCAACATTTGAGATTTTTGAGACATGAACTTGTGTTTTTTGAAGCTTTTGAATACAAGTATTTCAGTAGGCATATGGAATATCTTTTCTGTCTCTTTATAACAAATACAAATTGTATTTAAATATATATTTTTTACTAATGCAAGTGTCTTACAAAAAAGCATATGTACAACCAAAATTTCAAATTGCATGAGTAGAGAATTCTCAAAAAGTTTGGCAGTTATCAACTTTCGTAAATACATCAAAATCAGTGAAATCTCCATGTTCATACAAATACATGAATTTGGAACTTTATTCTGCAGCATGGTATGGATTGCAATTTATTTCGGTAAGTTAATGGCTATTGTGCCATCTTTGCTTTCATTAAGACTGAAATACATTTCAGACAGAACGGCTCAATGTAATTCACACAAATAAAATTTTGGCTTTTATACATAAAAGTAACAGAAAACTAAGAAGTAATTGAATTATTTTAACCAAAGAAGCATTTGAATTATGTATCTTGAGAAACATTTTCTGGTAAATGAATGTTAATGACAAAATATATACTAGTAATCCAAGATAACATAAGACATTTCCATCAGATTGACAAATGACAATTATCACATATTTCTTCTGGGTAGCAAAACTGGTCTTTGTATTCTATTAATTGCGTAAGTCACTTTTCCTGCAATAAAGTTACAAAATGAAACCAACTGTTAAAATTAAGTTTCCATGTTGACACTAAGTTTGTACAATGCAGTTTGCCACAGTCCACAATTGATTTAGTAAAATGCAATAACTAAATAATTAGTAAAATGCAATAATCATGTACTACTTATTATTTGATATTTGCATAGGTTAACTATACAGTATATTTCTTTCCTCCTTGAAGGAATTAAAGATATATTATATATTATTGCCATTAACAATAAAAGTTTACCCATAGGCCAATGAACTCAAACCAATGTTCCCACTTTCACAAGTTTTCCCATTGAAATGTTGTTTCTTTTAAATGTTGTATAATTTCTCACAATTTTATGTGTGGATAATTATTCCATCATGTTCATCAGACATAAACAACTAAGTGACTTGAAACTAAACCGGTTTGATATAACATAGCATGTTAAATGCAACATAATAGACCAGGCCAGCCACAGGCTTGGGATTTTGAGACCAAGCATGTGATTACATTGGCTATGATAAGTTTGAATTATGACATGGATGTCTAGGACTGTTGTGACATGTGCATACACAAGTATCATCCTTGTATTCTAAATCCCTCCCTTCCCCAGTACCTTGTATGAGTGGAATAGGACCAGTTTGCAATGCAAGGACCTAATGGCCAGTGTCAGTGCTGTCTAAGAGCAGGCTGTACTCTAGGGAGAAGGATAGTTTGCCACAGTAGTCATACATGGAGAAAAATAGCTGTCTATTATCTAAGTTGATACAACGTAGTAGAAAAATTCCCCTACTATTTTATAACTTTTTAATCAAATTCCAAATTCCTGATCTTTTTCATGATTATCAGTCTTTGGCTACCCTGATAAACTCTTCCCAATTACTTAATACTTTTAGGAATTATTATTACATTTGTTGGAATCAAACTACTGGAATAATTAAATATTTTATTATAATTTAAGAGTACTTTTCAGTTCATTAAGCTATTCAATTGCTTTCTCCTTCAAATATATTTTCTTCAATGCTGTGGTCAGAGAGTATAATGGCTGTGGTTTTGCTTGTTATTACATCAAATGGTTAAAGAGATAAATGAAAAATCTTTTAAAATGTGTAGAATTCTTTCTGTAGATTCAAACTGTTAAGGCATATAAAATCAATGAGCTTATAAATAATAATTTTTGCAGCAAGATTCACCACACATTGCTAAAATAGGCCATTTTCTCATAAATTAGATGAGGAGTGCTTCTGTCATTTTCTCATGACTTAAGTTGATTTATACCTGTGACTGCTTGGAGAACAGAATTAGTGTTGCCCTGTTTATTAGTGACAAAATTAACATTTTCTATTCAGAGTGAAATAATATATAATATCTCAATGAATGTGTATTCGATCAGGGAATATTTACGTTTCAGGAAATTGGGGAAAATATTTGCATTTCCGTAAAACAAATTTTAAAAAAATTAGTAATTAAAACATGATAATTCATTAAAATTACTTGTTTTAGGCAAAAAATATTAAAATAAGCATCAACCGCCATTTTAGGCACTACTAGATGCTTTCAGTTGATCTATTTGTTCATGATCTGTAAACATCTGCAATTACTTTTCACAGCCTCCTAAAAGAACTAAACACACATTTGTTATAAAATACAAGGTCTAGTCATCAGCCACTATAGAAAAATCAAAGTATAAAGTACAATAACAGCAATAGAAAGAATATATGAAAAACCTGTTCTTTTTCTTATATTATGATTAAGCTGCGGATTTGTGCCTATTAGCCTATTTGTTCCTTCCGTGAAAAACACAATCTTTTAGATTGCTTATTTGGGGGCAGTAGGAGCATTGTACTCAATTTTTATAGGGGCTACAAATGCCTATTTTGTGTTTAAATATATAAATGTTGCCTTTTATTATATGGATTAATCCAAATGCAATTATAATTATTCAAAAATTGTTTGCTTTTTTGTTTTTATCTTGCTGAGTACAGAGAAATTAAACAACTATCGATAAATCTAAGTGTCATTTGACAGCGAGAATTTGTATTATGAAACCCTTGGCAAAATCACAGGTGGTGGTAGAGTTACTTTTTATTAAGAATTTTTAACCACATTTTTTTTAATCAAAAACAGCTCCAAATATTTTCTTAAATTTTTCTTCTTGTGTATCAAAGGACAGTATAAAAATTGATGCTGGTCCCATTTTTCACAAACTATATATTTTTGATAATTCCACAAATGGTAACATTCCAAAAGTACAATATTGAATAGAGAGATTTTAGTCATAAATGAAATGTGTTCTGAATATCAGATCTGCAATAAAAGTCATGTAAAGCAATCTGCAATAAAGGTTCGCAAAATATCTGCTTCAAGTTAATGCAAATAGTAAAATAAATTCTCGAAAACTGCTACAATTTTTTTGAATTTTTTTCTGAGGATAGAGAAAGGGATGCTTAAAATAATGGTGCATATCTCATTTTTGTTAAACTCTGAATTTTTGAAATATTTGTTAATATATTGTAAGAATGTAGTATGAACTCTCCATATTGCAAGAAGTTAAACATTTCAAAACTACAAAAAGGAAATGGATATTTTTGTCTTAAACAAAAAGGCTCCAAAAAATAAGCTCTTCAAAAGAGGTAATGTAAAATTTCTTGAAAAAATGATTAGTTTGCATGTAATTTCTAGTTGAAGTTATGCAAATTATATTTAAAAAAATAAAATAAAGAAACCCTCCAAATGTTTCTTTAAATGTTTTCCACTGATAAAACAAGGGATGCTTAGAAGAATAGTGCAGGTCTAATTCTCCTTTATCTTTTTAAAGTTTTGAAAATTGCATGTCAGTAATATTGGACTGAAAATATTGGATTTTTAAGTATTGGCCGAAGTATGTATCTGAGTGGCTGCTGGATGTAGAATTAAGGTGCACAGAGAGTTAACTCTCAGGACCTGCATGAGAGCCTCGGTGCAGAAAAAAGTGTGTGGTTGAAAATAATTTTGGAGTTAAATAGGATACAATATTGCAGCGCAGTTACAAATAATGCAAGAAAGTATGTACTGAATAGCTCCACTTCTTATCATGACAACAAAATTAATAATAGAATTGATACAGGAACTTTATAATATTGTCTTTATTTGTACACTTTTCTCAGGTTAATATTGAGCAAAATAAGAACTATCCTGCTGCTTCAGTGAAAATTTTGCACAAGACTCATCAACATTGTCTTTATATTTGAACCTTTTCTTAGAAAATATAGAACTACTGGGGAATATATAAAGGTTATGAAAATTAATTGCAATTTGTCAAATAAGTGGAGAATATTTTACTCTCATGAGCAGGCATGTGCATCACAGGGGAACTGCCCCCAAATGCTGTTCGTTAAACAAATGTGATCACATCAATTGATCCCTGATAAGAGTCAGAATGTACTTTGGAAACTGCTAGCCAATACCACAAAATCAAGCACACCCACAAATGATAAGATGGCTTTCAACATTTAATTATGCGGGAGCTTAGGCTTCCGCGTCTGGAGTCAGTATTTAATAGGCTGTCCAGGTGACGCCGCATCCATGGCGAAGGTGCCAACGTTTCAGTTGCCATTCTGTGATGCGGCGTCGCCGGGACAGCCTAGTAAATACCATTTTATTATGAGTTTTGGGGACAGGGCAAAAGGAAATAACGCAATGTTTGGGTGACTTTTCTCCTAAGCAAAAAATAAATAGTAGTTTAACAGAATATCTCCTGTATTATCGAATGGTGAAACTTGTTACAATAGATGTTATTGTAAAATGTTAGTGACAATTTTTCTTGGCACTTAACAATATGCTATGCCACACAGGACATAAAAACACACTAAACAGAAACATTCACTTCTGAAATATTTTGATTAGGATTTTTTAATTCAAGGAACCATGGTACATTCTTTACTATTTAAAATAGTCTGTGCAGTATGCATTATTTCACATGCCATATTAGCATCATGCAAACTCAAAAAATCAACATTTTTTCCCCATAAAAATATAATTCATACTTCCATGAAGTGTAAACACTTGAAGACTACCATATCACTTATATAAGAACACTTTTCTGTACAGCAATTAAAGCATCACACTTCTTAAAAACACAAACAATAGCACTTGATCCGGAGAAAGAGCACAATGTCATTCACCAAGAGATTTATCAACATAATTACATATTTATATAAACATTGTTGTGCGTAAGTGACAACTGTCTACATTTGCTCCAAAAAGTTAGTCCAGCAACAAAACATTCCATGAAAGCATTTGTCAACTGCCAGTACTAAGAAACAGTTTAAGTCTGTAAAACACACAATCATACAAGTTTTAGGAGCATACAAAAATCAGTTGGGGTGTTTTTTTGCTGCACATCTCAAGAGGCATTTTTATTTATTGCAGTACACAATGAAAGCTATTAGAGACCAGTCTTATAAATGTTCGTTAATTGCAAGAAAGTAGCAAGCAAAGGAAGTTACACTGTCACACACAACAAGAAATAAGCACCTAATCTGCATCCTCTTGCAAATGATGTTGATGTAAATGTATACCCAAACTATTTGTGTGAGGGTATAAAGGATGCCACCAATCCAAAATTTTGATATTAACCACTGGATCAAATATCACTACACCATTGCTGTCTGGGTAGCATAAGGGACCCGAACCAAATTCAAGTCTTAAGCGATAGGAGCATAATCCTTGAGACAATGACACTGCCACATGACACAATGTCAGACCCAGAACAACAGGATGAGAAATATAATTCATACATGTAACCTGTAACAAAACAAAACCATTCTGAAGTCAATGGCAACCATTCTCTAGTTTGAATAAATAGCACAAAAAGGGATCAAGGAATATATTTCAGAATTTATAACATATTATTAATAATAACAATAGTAATATAAAAAATTAGGTTTCAGAAACAGACATTGCAAATAGAGTGAAAAATAATTGAAGTGCTGATGGGGAAGTTGTAATATATTAATTGTAAAATCAGCAGTTTTTAAATAATTTAAATGATTCCAGAATTGTTTTGGTTAAAGTAAAGTACACTGTAAACCCTTAAAGAAACATGGCAATGGAGGGGGAGGGCCACAGGAGGTGAGGAGTCTCCCTCAATTTATGCTACGCAGTGATAAAAATGAATAAAACCTATGGATAGCTGATTTTCACAGCATGTCCTTCATACTCTTTGTCCCAGCTGCATTGTAAAGAGAAATTATTTTCAAAGTCAAGATTTCTCGGTTCGCTCCCCCGGATCCAAGCACCAGTGAGGCTTAGGCCTTCGGCCCTCATGTTCGCTGTAAACTTCCACGAGTCTATCCCCTGCATATTTACCAACTCACTTTTATAAGAAAGCCTCCAAATTTAAACTGTGTATTTGCAAACACATTGTGAAGAAAGAACATTACAACCTTTGTTTATCACACCACAACACCACAATCACAGCACTATTTTGTAATCGAACTCCAAAAAGATACAAAGGGAGAAATTGTCTCCCCTAGCTTACGACCTCACGTTTGGAACCAATTATGAACCCTTCATCCACCACAGATTTCCCCCAAGCTGGAGCAGTGTGAAGTGCTGATTTATACTACTTCCTTAAGACGTACCATATACCAGACTTTAGCCATTTTTGTTTGTTTGTTTGTTTGTTTGTTGAGTCTACCAAAACTTTCATTGGTTCATTTTAAAAATGTGGATAGTTTGATAATTTACAAATGGTCCAGTTCCATTTTATCAGGATTATCAAATTAATTAAAAACCATGAAGCATGTGGTTGAAACACATATTTTAATAAAACTGTGATGACTATTTTTCATTACCTGTAATACTTTACAACCTTCTTCTTGGTTGGCAGATACATCTTCTAGCATTTCTATCAAGTCAGGTTGACGAGGCTTATTACCACTGCCTCGGCCTAATCTGATAGTGGCATGTTTCAGTTTGAAGAAATATATCCATTGATTTTTAAATTTCTGAAAAAATAAGAACAATAACTAAATTTTGCAACTATTGAGAGCAGAGTTTAGAAAATCAGCATCATTTGAAGAAACTTTACCTGATGCCACATTAAAACACACAGTCGTTTGGTTAAACTGTGAGGAGTCACATCTTTCACAACCTTCTGCCTGTTTATAAATGGGGGGTACATGTAGTGAAGGGCTCGTATGACACAAGTTCGCAGTCCATACAAACGAACCATGCTCTCTGGTTCTAAACACTCTGGTAAGTTGGGAACAGTTTTGTAATACCTACAGAGGTAAGATAAATTGAAAAACATAAAAAATTTACTCACTTCTATTTGCAACAAGAACTTTGTTTAATTTACCTTTTGTAAAGGTGAAACCAAAACTTTGCAGTTCCTACAACATGGTAAGCATTCTTACAGAGGCAAGCAAATGTTGATATGTCCTCTGGTTGAATGTATTCAGAAATGAGAAACCATATATCAAGAGGATATTCATTTCCTCCACCTTGATCACATGAATTATCTTCTGAAATTGTCTTTTTGCGTCGCCTGGAAGGCTTCTTAATAACATACTCTATAAAGGAAAGGGTAATGAATAATAAAAACACATTTTACCAATGCAAGTGTATATAAACAACATATCAAATACACCTCCTTCAATCCTCCAATATAGGACCTACAATGCAATTTGCATAGGTTCCAAAAATGAACACTTTGGAATGTGATAGATGGTTTTGAATAGCTTATATTTCTTCTTCTGAAGTTTGAACGGTAATGTGTAAAACGATCAGAAAATATTTAATAAGTGCGAAAAAAGACAGGTTTCATATTGAAAGAGTATCCAAAGTATGCAAATTTTTGGAACATAGGCATAAAGCTTCTAAAACCCTTTGTCTGTATGGTCAAACAGTAATAGTTTTTTCTCTGAGGTGGTATAACTGCACTTAAAAAATATGATATAGATAAAATAGTCAGCTGTACAAACACACAAGCAATTTTTCATGCTAAATATTCCAGATCAGAGTCAAACTAAATTATTTTTCATTCATTACGTTATACTCCCCTAAACATTCTTGGATGACATGTGCATGAATTTAAATCCATAATTGTTTTGTGAATTAATTTCATTTGTATAAAACTGCTTCAACACAATATCAATTTTTGCATTTTTTCTATCAAACATGCCTATAATTCAGAATCAAAATGTGTAAAAACTTTTAAGTCACAAAATTTAAAAAACTTAAAAAAGTTGTCAATGAAGACTGCAATTAGTGGAGGCTTTAAAATCTGAATATTTTCTTACCTGAATGGGTGAAAATCAGAACATATAAGTGACATTTTATAAATTCTGAGAAAAACGTGATTAGTTAAGGCTATATTTCAGTGACAATGTATTTTCATGGTTTTAATGAACAAGTGAAATCCTGTGAAAGCAAGCACCACCACTTTACAGTGATATTGACTTAAATAAACAGATTTCTCAACACATAAAATATCACTTATATTGTTCTGGTTTTCACTCATTCAACTGCACAAGACATTCAGCTTCCCTTTTAAAGGAAATTCATTAAAGGGTCACAGAAAAAAAATTACTGAGACTATGTCACGAATTTACACAAACCACATACTACAGTTGAGGATACATTTAAGCAAGTTCTAATTACCTTTTGTTCCATCTTCTCCATCTTCTTCCACAAACTCAAAATCTCCCTCGAAGTCTTCTAATTTCTCATACCAGGCTCTTGAATCACCTTCTCCACTTAACTGTTTCACTGTTTAAAAAAGAACATATGAAACATTTACAATTTAAAAAGAAAAACAAATTCTTTTCACTGTTTATCCAAAAAAGAAACGTATCCTTATAAATCAGATGTGAAAACATCTTGATCACAACCAAAACTATTTTCTGTGAGTCTTAATTATTGGTGTTAGTATTTTAGCTGGAGGAAAAAATTAGCTATTTCTGATCGAGGTAGAGCAAAATCAATCACATAACTGACCTGGTGACCATAACTTCTTGGCTGTCCTGGTGACGCTGCGTCATTGGCTCAGAGGGCAAAGATGTTAGTCTCTCAGCCAACGAGGCAGTGCCATCCGAACAGCCAAGAAGCAATGAACTCTAGCTGCAGAAGCTTATGGGAAGATAAAAATATTTTTATAGCCATATTATTGGTTTCGGAAGAACTCCTGTTGCATACTTGTAGAAAACTTTCATTATTAATAATTTTCTAAACCTTGGGAATTACATAATGAATAACAACGATTCTTTTATCGCATTAACTTTGAAACATTTTCTACAGTTTTAAAACACTTTGGTGCAGGTGCTATTTAGTGTACATCTAGTTGATGTAGAACAAATGAGATAAGATAATGAAACCAAATTTAATAATATATCTTAAAAGGATTGCAAAAGTAAACGTCAACATATATGAATTTCTATGCTATTTTTACTTTTCTTGCTTGTGCTTCATGCAGAAGAAATATGTTTGATATAATTAGAATTGCAAACAAATATATATATTTTCCCTTGAGTTTCAAAACTCTTTACAATTTTTAAAAGTCTTTCATACTTTATACTTTCAGTCCATGTAGCTTTCAATAGTTTTATCTTATCAATCTACTCATATCACATATCTTACTTATCAAAGATCAGAAGAATTATTTGCAAAACACAATCTAGAGTTTTCTCTGAACATTGTTTCATTATTTTTTGTTACACAGTTTTTAATATTTACGAAAGTCCATCAATATTCTAAGAACTAATTTTTTCAGGTTGTTTCTAGAACCTACCTAAGTCAAAATTATATGAAAAGGTTCTTACTTGTGTCCAACTAGAACAGAATGAATAAAAGTAGAATACAGAGTGTTAGAGGAATAAACTTCAAAAAATCAATTTAAGGGTCAATGCATTTCCAAGGTTGTTCAACATTGTTTCCAACAATGGAATTGAAAAGTGCAAACTAATTATGTCTTGAAAACAAATTTAAAATATGTGTCTTTAAAACTCAAAGTGACTTGAGAATGTTCTCCATGTAAGCATCAGACTTCAATATAATTCAGAAACTTTTTAACCATTCATAAATTCCAAGAGTTATTTCCAAACAAAACTACATGAATTAAAGGCACAATGATAGTCATTAAAAACAACTGGCCATCACATTTAACTTTGACATGCAATTTCTTATATTCATTGTGTAACATTATTACATAATTGCATCAACTCTAACTATCACGCTATAACATAATAGAATATGTCACTGCTAAATGAACAGGACAACAATTACCTTCTCGAACAACACTATTAGTAGCACCTTTCTTCAAACGTCCCTTTCCAGAGATGGAACAGTTTGCAAAATCATTCAAGGTCACATCTGCAAAACAAGCCACAGGACATTCAATCATAATAGTTATTATTAAACAATAAAATGGAAAGTCACTTCTAAAATGTAATTTGAATATTCTTTCTATAAATCTGTAAATAGATCTTTATACCAGCTGTTTTGCTGTGAACTGTGAAATGTTATTACCAATTTTAAGGCATACTTTATTTCACCTGTATCATTAATCCAAAACAAAATTCCCCAATGACAGTTAATTAAACGTAACGTGGGTCATTTCAGAAGGTTAATAATGCTGTTTTTATTCCTGTAATGCGATCGCCAGTAATATTAATGCAATATAACATCATTTTGCACACCACAAGGCACTAACCTCCAATATCTCGACTGGCACTTTTCAGAGAAGTCACCCTTCTCCCTGCTTTTCTACTCGCCCCCGACATCTTCTACACCTGAAGTTAAGTCTTGTTACAGAAATGTCACCGAACATCTTTGTAGAACAGAATAAAGGGATAAAGAAATGAAAGTGAGGTGAATCACTAATCCTCCACTATCGTCAGCCATATTGAACTGGCGGTCACGTGATGTCCCAAAGAGATCCCTGTACCAGAAATGGTATAAAAAGGCGCATCATATGATTCAGCGTGTACGTTTTGATCCTGTTTTATATTTTTGAGCGAATTTCATAAACAAAATAAAATTGCAAGAATTTCAGTGTTACTTCGACGTGTTGATTGTGAAATATCTAAATGTTCTGTGCGATTTCCTATTATTTATTTTATTTAAATCTTAAAACTAATACGTTCCCAGAAACATCTTTTTATTTGTTAATTCGAGTCCTTCTCTTGTATTTGTAGGATCACATGAGTCACAGCTGTATATTTCTTTTCGAGTTAAACTGTTGTGAACTCCGCATTTGGAATCTCTGTGGAAGAGCCCAATGACCTGACGTCACGGTCCAAGATGGCCGCTTGGGTTGAGAAGTGTAGTTATAGGACTTGGGTGGTAGGAATTTGTAGGTGTGTCAGATTGGTGTTTCGGGAATAATGCCGATAAAGTATTATTGGATTAGTTTCGATGTGTCCGTTCGCACATGTAAAAAGGTTTCAACTATTCCGTGTGTAAACTTAAGGTAATAGTAGTTGTATGTACCATATAATGAGTGATTCATTCCGTTACTATCAAACGTAGAGGCACCGCTTATTTTGCCCGGAGTCCGTATTTATTCTGTTAGTGCCGGTGCTTCCGTAAAATAAGCAACCATGTGGAATATGATGTGTGATGTGATGCCTACCATATCAGAGGATAGTATAAGTCAAAGGAGCTCTCAATTTTCTGGGGAAGATGCGAACTTTGAGCAGCTCATGGTTTCTATGCTGGATGAGCGCGACAAGCTCATGGACAGTTTGCGGGAAACTCAAGAACGTTTGGGTGAAACAGAAGCAAAACTCTCGGATGTCGAGAAAGAACGAGACTCCCTGCAGCGGCAGATTTCGGCCAACCTCCCTCAGGTGAGCACTACAATAAATACAATTCAACCATTCACATCTCTTGAACGATCCATGCACTCGATTTGGAGCTTTATTGATTCCCTTTGGCAAGGCCCTGACCGCCATTTTTCGATAGTCTTGACACAGAATTCTGCAAAAAATTGGTCGTGGGACCTCTATCTTGTCGTTTTTAACCTACGGTATGTTGTATTCTTGTCATTGATTTTTTTCCAACTTGCAGCGCACACTGCTCTGCTCTCGTTCTGTTGTGTCGCCTTCTCTCTCTGTCATTGACAGTTTAAGGTCCAGATTGCTAAATCTCGTTTCTGTGAAGAATGTTCTTTTTGATGATGTTTTTAAAAATTGTTGATTCGTGACTGCTTGTGATAGTTGCTTAATAGCTCATGTGGCACTGTGAGGTTAAGTGTTTCTTGCATGCTAGATGGAAGAGACCCTTGATGTCTGAAGTAAAATCTATTAAGTTAAAGAAACATAACATTATTTTCATACAGCTGAGAAGTTAAGTAATTTACAAGCATAATGAAGTATGTGAAATGGTGTGTTTCTGTCATTTTTAGTTGGGTGACATTAGGTACATGATCCTATGTCATTAAGGAACTTGAGTGTTTCTGGGCTTCTTATCAGTTACGAAATCCTTCAATATGTATGATCTGTATAACTAGTCTCTGAGCAGTATTTAGGGGAGGCCCTAATAGATGTCAAAGTAAATGTCAAAGAAGAGTACCTGTCAGAAGCCTAGAAATTGTAAAATAAGATTACCAACTACAGTGCAAATAGTCAATCTGAAATGATCCAGTTTGAAAAGAAATTGCGTCTAAGTTTCGTCAAAATTTTAAAACAAATAGTGTATAATTCACAAATTAGTCTTTGATATTCCAGTTGTTGAAACATTTTCACTATTGTGCTGATTGAAGGTACAGCTTTTAATTGTTTTCGCTTCTGGCATGACACTGTGATTGATAATGTGAACGTTTATTTAGCATGATTCGAATTTGTATTGAATCCATATGCATTAAAGATGCAAGTTGGAGGACCCTTTCTTCCGTTCAGATGTCTGAGATGTCTCAGTTTCTAATAGGGAATGGACGAGGATTGCCATATGTCCGTTTTTCTCGTTGCTTTAAATTACCTTTAATGTTGAAAAGTGTCGTACTGTCGCATAGTATTTTTTTCACGCGGAAAATCTCTCGGGGCCTCGGAGATCATGTGGTCAACCGGAAGTGTGCGTGAGCCCATCACGTCGAAGCTTCCCTAGTCCGCCGCCTCCGCCCCCGCCCCCACCCCCGGTCTTTTGGTGACCAGTCTGGGACAGTTGCCGACTGCGGGCGAAGGCCCGGCCTTGGCTGTCACGGCCGCCTCCGCCCTTCACCCGCATGGGGCCCTCGGTCGGGGCAGGGGAAGGGAGAGGCCGGTCTTTCATGTGGCCTGCGGGATCCTGTGGGTGGACAGGCTCATTGGACCTTCTGTCATGCACTCAATTCCATGCTTTATTCTCTTCTTCTTTCTCCCCTCTCTCTCTTTCGGCTCGTCCGTTTTCAGTTGCTCTCCAATTTGATTGAGGATTCTTTAATCTTTTATACATACGGTATGGTCACTTTCTGGAAAACGGGGAAAATTCTGGAATAAATAAGGGAATTTGCAGAAGAATAGTTAAAAGTAAGGGACAATATTTAGAGAGTTATAAACGAGATATTATTCCTTAAAACATTAGTACAGCATTATTCTTTGCTCAATTGGTTGAGGAAATATTAATTTCTTTGGTCAGCTCTCATGTTTTGTAGTGACAATTAGTATCAGGGTACCTTTTAATATTTTGTTCTAGTAGTGTTAAATTACAAATCATATCAGGGAAAAAATGCACAAGAAAACGGAAAATTTTGGGAAATTTGTTCCTGGAAATAGGTGGCCAACTGTACATAGTTCCTTCCGGTAATATTTTAACCTTCAATTTTGATCTCCCTCTTCTTGCTTTTCTCTTTTTCTTCCTCTATATCCTGTTTCATCCCTTTCTTTTCATTGTTATTCCCTCCATTTGTGCACGACGCCTTGCGTTTCCGCTTCTTTTTCTTACTTTACTCTCGGAGCCTTTTCTTCTCTGTCGTCCATTTCAATATTCAATTGACTTCTCCTCCCTTTGGCTCCTGTGTTTTTGTTTACTCTCACCTCTTTCTTTTCTGCTGTACTTCGAAGATTGATCCTTACCTCTTGTTCTCTTTTGTTAGTATCACTTTCCTTTCTTAGGTGCATTTTGTATCGTCTATCGTCTCCTTTCCACATGTACCTTTCGTACTTTTTCCCCGGATCATGTTATTTTCTTTTCTTTTTCTTCCACATCTACCACTTCATTCTATTTCGTCACTCCTTTAATAGTTCATTGACCTCTAAACTTATTTCTCATAGTTTCACTTCCCATATTTCTATCTTAATGTTTTACAATACTATTGCAATTCAGTTTCCCTATTTCCACTCTTTTCTTTGATTTAGTCTGTTTTCATGCTTTTCCTAATACTACCCTCTACTATTCTTCCTCTTCTCTCCTCTTTCTCATTCCGTTTCTCTTCTTCACGTTCTTCCTATTTCTATCTTTCCTTTTATTTTTTCTTGCCTATTGTATTTTCTCATAAGTTTCCCCTTTTTTTCTCACATTTGCATATTCCGAATTTCTGGGTTATTCCTTTCAGGGTTCTGCGAAGTTGCAAATAGTGGTTATTTTGATGCTTTCTTCCCGCTTTATTTTCTTTCTTCCTTCCTTCTTCCCTTCCCACATTTTCCTAATGTAGCGGCGGATGACTACGTGTTGAGGCTTACTTTCTAGTTACTTTTTGAATCTCGTAATGTAAAAAAAAGCCTCAAGGAATGGATAGGTGCGGAATCCTTCATTTGATCAATCACTAAGCGCTGAATTATTTCTAATTTAATTTCTTTAAAAATGGGCTGGACATTTGGGCTTAGAAACAGCATGAAAAACATGTAATTAAAAAAATGGATGTGCATGTTTTTACTTGTAACAGAGAGCGTATAGTTTCTGCACCTTATTTCATATTTTAAGTTTAGCTACATGCTGTATAATGTGCAAATTACAAATTTATGTATGTGCCATTAAAAAAATTGCCGCAAACTCTGTATTCGAAAATTCAGAAATCCTGTGTGGAAGTGGGTGTTGTGGACATGAGCGACGTGCCTTTGGTGTCGCTGAACAGGATGTGCAGCATTACAGCGTTGACTTGTGTGGCATAGTTGCAGTAGCATTGCGAGAGGAACCTCCGCAAAGCTAATTTCGTCCATGAGGACAACACATACGGGGTATTGTGATAATAATGTTGATTACTTTTCAAATAAATCAAGCTTTTACAAATTACATACTGAACTAATTTTTAGCAAAGACATTTAGGCAGGCAATTATTAAATATTCTATAAAAATAATGCTCATCATATATTTCATTCTGGAGTTTGAAGAAATGCAGTAAGTAGTGAATATCTACTGAAGAGAAAAAATTAAAACCACCTGGGTTGAGATCGAGCAATCAAGCAGGAACATTAAAACTTCTGTAATGAAAAAGTCGAAATAAAAATTGATTAGGAGCAAGTGGAAAGGAAGAACATCAAATTCGTACTCGGTAGTATCATAGGAAATCGGATGATTTAACTCAAAAATATATGTATGCTAAATGCTTTACAAAGTGCCAAAGAAATTTAAAAAACCAGTAGCTCAAGGAACTTCCTCAATTGTGTAATTCTATCATTTTAATTTGGCCAGTCACTGTCCAATTTCTGGAAACTTTTCGAAATCTCTATTTGATTTGTAATCTCGAAAACAGGGTCATATCTGTCGTGTTTAGTAAGACTGATCTGCATTTTCATTGTTTTCCTGAATGTAGATCAGACAAATGGTTTACCCATTTCCCTTTATCAGCTCTGTGCACTTTACTCTACCATCGGAGTGCGTTTTCCTGGCGCTCTAATCTTGTTTGTAAGCGCAGCAGTCATCCCCATCCGTTTTGTGGGCGATTGCAGCTTCGTCCAACCACGCACGTCACTAGGACCCGATGGAAAGATTTGGGAACTTCTAGGAGATGGTTTTTGGTAGGTTCTTTTGAATAATTAGCTGCTTTCTTTGTATTCTAAAAGTGCCGAGTATTTTTGAATGAACAAAGTTAGCAGAACTGCAGAACATTCTATTAATTTTATCTTAATTTTATATTCAAAATTATCCGCAAGACATTCTATAGTTTCTCATTTAAGTGTATCCAAAAACATCTACATCTTCAATATCTTCTATTTGTAAACATTCCCGCGCCATTTTTTTGACCGACGAATTTTTCGTCGCTATTACGATCTTGAAGCGTATTGCTATTATCTGGTAGCAATTGCCTCGCTAGCATTTTCATTGACCGATGCTTGATTAAATCTTATCCCAAACAACCCCATTACTAGCTGGACCAATGAGAACATTCATCACTTTGTAAAAAAATCATGGTTTTAATCGTGAAAGGAGTTTCATAGTGGAACACAGAAACTTCGAACGGCCGATCTTCAAACACTGCGATTCAACATATCTTACTGACCGATTTCTGTGCTTGGATAATCATTCTAATTTTCTAAGCTTTTATTAATATGTAGAAAGACGTAGACCCGCGAGAATGAATTGCACAGGACATCAAATGCAGTCGATTTCATTCTATGTGGGTTTTGAGTTTCCACTCGTTTCTGACCTCGTGTGCTACGCAGTGGTGGTGTGCAGATGAACTGAACCTCCGAGAGTGAAATAGATTCGTAAGGTCTCATTTTGTAATTATGCCTTTAAGAAACCTTACTCGGCCCCTGCCTGACCCTCTCATATTTGCGACGCGTTTTCCGCTTGATGGCCGCTTGTTCCTCGCTCTCTCCCTTCTCGTTCCCCCTCTGACCTGTCCATTCCACAGGCTCCTCCTGCGCTTCACTCCAACGCGTCGCCCCGTGTCCCCCCCTGCACGAATCCCGGCATGTTTAACTCAAAATTA